GGGAGGGCACTGGGACAAACTGGGAGGGGGGAAATGGGAGGAAAATGGCAAAAAAAGGGTTAAAAATGGGAAAAATGGGGAAAATATGGGGAAAATGGGGATTTGGGGTTACTGGTTTGTACTGGTTTGTACTGGTTTGGGACTGGGCGTTACTGGTTTGGACTGGGAGGGGACTGGGAGGGGGAAATGGGGGGAAAGTGGGGAAAAATGGTTAAAAATGGGGGGAAATGGGGATTCGGGGTTACTGGTTTGTACTGGTTTGGGGTTGGGGGTTACTGGTTTGTACTGGTTTATACTGGGAGGGGACTGGGAGGGACTGGGAGGGGGGAAATGGGGAAAAAATGGCAAAAAAAGGGTTAAAAATGCGAAAAATATGGGGGGAAAAGGGTTAAAAATGGGACTTGTACTGGTCCATACTGGTCCGTACTGGTCCGTACTGGTCCTTACTGGTCCTTACTGGTTTATACTGGTTTATACTGGTCCGTACTGGTCCATACTGGTCAGTACTGGTCCGTACTGGTCCGTACTGGTTTATACTGGTCCATACTGGTCCATACTGGTCCGTACTGGTCCGTACTGGTCCGTACTGGTCCGAAAAAAATTGAATTTTTGGGGAAAAAATGGGAGGTTTTTGATGGGAAAAAAGAGGAATTTTTGGGGAAAAAATGGAATTTTTTGGGGAAAAGAAAGGGGAATTTTGGGGAAGAAAGGGGAATTTTGTCATAAATAAGGGAATTTTTTAGGTAAAAAAGGGAATTTTTGGGTAAAAATGGAATTTTTGGGAGAAAAAAGGGATTTTTTGGGGAAAAATGGAATTATTTGGGAAAAAATGGGAGTTTTTTGAGGGGAAAAAAAAAGAGAATTTTTGGAGAAAAAAAGGGAATTTTTTGGGGGAAAAAAGGAAATGTTTTGGGTAAAAAAGGAAGATTTTGGGAGAAAAAGGGATTTTTTGGGGGGAAAAAAATGGAATTTTTGGGGGAAAAGTGGGAGTTTTTTGAGGGAAAAAAAAGAATTTTTGGGAAAAAATTGGGAGTTTTTTGAGGGGAAGAAAAGGGAATTTTTTGGGAAAAAAATGGAATGAGGAAAAAAATGGAAGTTTTTTGAGCAAGAAAAAAGGGGAGTTTTTTCGGTAAAAAAGAGAATTTTTTGGGAAAAAAATGGGAGTTTTTTGAGGGGGAAAAAGGGAATTTTTGGGGGAAAAAAGCGGAATTTTGGGGGGGAAAAAATGGAATTTTTTGGGAAAAAAAAGGGGATTTTTTTGGGGAAAAGCTCCAAATTTTTTGGGTGAAAAAAGTGAATTTTTGGTGTTTTTTCCAGGCGATTTGGGGGCGGGGGAGGGGCGGGGCTGGGCCTGCCGCAGCTGCACCTTCCAGAACCCCTCCCCCAGCGTCCTGTGCCAGGTGTGCGAGCGCCCCCGCCTGGCCCGGAGGCCCCAGGTGAGAAAATCGGCGATTTCCCCCCAAAAATTCCAATTTTTGGTGAAAAAATCGCATTTGGGGGAAAAAATGAAAATTTTGGTGAAATTAGAATTTTTTTCTGTAGAAAAAACGGTGAAATTTGGGTAAAAGAAAAAAGCGGAATTTTGGGGGGGAAAAAATGGAATTTTTTGGGAAAAAAAAAAAGGGAGTTTTTTTGGGAAAAATCTCTGAATTTTTTGGGTGAAAAAAGTGAATTTTTGGTGTTTTTTCCAGGCGATTTGGGGGCGGGGGAGGGGCGGGGCTGGGCCTGCCGCAGCTGCACCTTCCAGAACCCCTCCCCCAGTGTCCTGTGCCAGGTGTGCGAGCGCCCCCGCCTGGCCCGGAGGCCCCAGGTGAGAAAATCGGCGATTTCCCCCCAAAAATTCCAATTTTTGGTGAAAAAATCGCATTTGGGGGAAAAAATGAAAATTTTGGTGAAATTAGAATTTTTTTCTGTAGAAAAAACGGTGAAATTTGGGTAAAAAACGGGATTTTTAAAAAGGAAAATTTAAATTTTTTTGGGGAAGAATTGAGGTTTGAAAAGGGAAAATGTTTTTAGGGGAAAAGGTGAAATTTTGGGATAAAAAGGGGAATTTTGGGGAAAAAAACAGATTTTTATAAGAAAAAAATGTAATTTTGAGGGAAAAAAAATTAAGATTCCAAGAGAAAAAAAAGAGATTTTTAGTGAGAAAAAATCGGATTTTTAGAGAAAAAAATTTGGAATTTTTAGAGGAAAAAATTCGGAATTTTTTAGAAAAAAATGGAATTTTTTAGGGGAAAAAATTTGGGATTTTAAAGAAAATAATTTGGATTTTTTAACTCAAGGAAATGAGATTATAAGAGAAAAAAATTTGATGTTTTAAGGAAGAATTTTAGGTAAAAATAAGGATTTTTTGGGGAAAAAGGGAATTTGAGGGGAAAATATTGGCATTTTTTAAAAGGAGAAAATATTGGAATTTTGGAAGAAGTAAAAAAAAATTCGAGGAAAAAAAGTTGGAAATTTTTGGAAAAAAATTTGGAATTTTTAGAGGAAAAAATTCGGAATTTTTTAGAAAAAAATGGAATTTTTTTAGGGGAAAAAATTTGGAATTTTATAGAACATAATTTGGATTTTTTAACTCAAGAAAATTAGTTTAAAACGGAAAAAAAATTGAAGTTTTAAGGAAGGATTGGAGTTTTCTAAGCAAAAATAAGAAATTTTTTTGGGGGAAAAAGGGAATTTCAGGTGAAAATATTTGCATTTTTTAAAAGGAGAAAATACTGGAATTTTAGAAGAAAGAAAAAAAGAATTTGAGGAAAAAAGTTGGAAATTTTTGGAAAAAAATTTGGAATTTTTTTGAGGTAAAAATTGGGAATTTTGGGGAAATATTAGGATTTTTTTGAGGAAAAAATCATTATTTTTTGGGGGGGAAAAAAAGGGGTTTTTTAGAGAAAAAATTGAATTTTGGAAGGAAAATGTGGATTTATTAGGGGAAAAATGGGAAAATTGGAGAAAAAATGGATTTATTACGAAAAAAATTGAATTTTGGAAGGAAAATGTGGATTTATTAGGGGAAAAATGGGAAAATTGGAGAAAAAATGGATTTATTACCCAAAAAATTGAATTTTTTTTGTGGGAATGAAAGAGAATTATGAGGGAAAAATCAGATTTTTGGAGGAAATTTTTGAGGTGAAAAGAAGGGAATTTGGTGAAAAAAATTGAAATTTGTAGGGAGAAAATGGAAAGTATTGGGGGATAAAAGAGAAATTTGGGGTGAAAAAAGGGAATTTTGGGAAACAATTGGGAATTCTCGGTGTTCAAAATAAAGTTTTAGGAAAAAATTCGGATTTTGTGATTTTGAAAAATGAATTTTGGGGGAAAAAAAGAAATTTTTGGGTTAAAAAATTGGGATTTTGGTTAAAAATTGTCAATTTTTGTGTCCCAGCCAAGCCCCGCCCCCGCCCAGGTGTGGCCCTGCCCCCGCTGCACCTTCCTGAACCGAGGCCACGCCCCCACCTGCGAAATGTGCGGCGCTGACCACGCCTCCTTTGATGACGTCACTTCCGGAGCCTCCACTCCCACCCCCAGTGTTGTTTCTGCCACTTCCGGGTTCGGGATGACCACTTCCGGTTATGGATCCGCCTCTTCCGGTGCGACTACAACAACTTCCGGTGCAGACAAATCAACTTCCGGGTCTGCCCCTGCCTCTTCTGGTGCTGGGAAAGCGACTTCCGGGTAATTCTCGGTGTTCAAAATAAAGCTTTAGGAAAAAAATTGGATTTTGTGATTTTAAAAAATGAATTTTGGGGGAAAAAAGGAAATTTTTGGGGTAAAAAATTGGGATTTTGGTTAAAAATTGTCAATTTTTGTGTCCCAGCCAAGCCCCGCCCCCGCCCAGGTGTGGCCCTGCCCCCGCTGCACCTTCCTGAACCGAGGCCACGCCCCCACCTGCGAAATGTGCGGCGCTGACCACGCCTCCTTTGATGACGTCACTTCCGGAGCCTCCACTCCCACCCCCAGTGGTGTTTCTGCCACTTCCGGGTTCGGGATGACCACTTCCGGTTATGGATCCGCCTCTTCCGGTGCGACTACAACAACTTCCGGTGCAGACAAATCAACTTCCGGGTCTGCCCCTGCCTCTTCTGGTGCTGGGAAAGCGACTTCCGGGTCTGCTGATGTAACTTCCGGTGTTGCAAACACCACTTCCGGTGTTGAAAAACCCTCCTCTGATGTTGCTAAAGACACTTCCGGTATTGGGAAGGCCACTTCCGGTGTCGGCCATGACACTTCCGGTGTCGGCCATGACACTTCCGGTGTCGGCCATGACACTTCCGGTGTTGACAATCCCACTGCGGGGGTGGGGAATTCCACTTCCGGTTGTGCTGAGGTCACTTCCGGGGGTGGCCCCGCCCCTTCCCGTGATGCTTTGCGGCAGAGGAAGCTGCTGGAGGACGGGCGCCGCCTGGTGGAGCTCGTGAGGGTGAGGAGGAGTTTTGGGGGAAATTTGGGGGATTTCGGGAAAATTTTGGGGAAATTTTGTGAATTTCGGGAAAAATTTTGGAAATTTGAAAAAGCTTTGGGATTTTGATGGAATTTTTGGGAGTTTTGAGAGGAATTGGAGGGAATTTTAGAGGAAATTTGGGGTTTTTTTGGAATTTTTTGGGAATCTTTGCGGAAGTTTGGGTGGGATCTCAGGAAATTTTGGGGGAGAATTTGGGAAATGTTTTTAGGAATTTTTGGGGGAGATTTGAGAAGATTTTGGAGAAAAAATTGTGGGAATTTTTGGGAAATTAAATAAATATTTTAGGGGAATTTTGGGAGGGATCTGAGGAAATTTTCAGGAGAATTTTTTGGGATTTTGGGGAATTTTTTGGGAGGGATTTGAGAGTTTTTTTAAGGGAAATTTTCTTGAATTTGGAGAATTTTTTTTAAGAAAATCTGATAAATTTTGGGATTTTTCCTAAATTTTTGGGAAAGTTTTATAGAAATTTCTATAAATTTGGACAATTTTGTGAAAAAAATGGAATGAATTTGTGATTTTTATCCAAAACTTCAGCAAATTTTAGAATTTTTACTAAAATTTTGCAAATTTCAGGGAATCTTGACTGAATTTTGAGTTTTTATTAGAAGTTTTTATAATTTTAATATTTTTATTTAACCTTTTGTGATTTGGAGATTTCGAGAAACACTTTGGGAAATTTAAGAAATTTTTGATAGAAATTTTTGTGGGTTTTGGATATTTTTTGAAAATTTTCTCAAATTTAGGATTTGTAATGAAAATATTTTGATAAATTTGTGAATTTTCGTGAAAATTTTGCCCAATTTTAGGATTTTTCCAGAATTTTCTCTCCCCTCCCCCAGGCCGCCGAATCCCAGGGCCTCCCCCCGGAATCCCTTGGCCCCGCCCCCTTTTCCCAGCTTCCGGAACCTTCCGGCCTCGCCCCCAGCCCCGAATCCCAAATCCGGCACTTCCGGAGCCGCCTCGGAGGGGTCCTCAAGGCCCTCCAGGGGGCGGAGCCCGAGGAGAAGGAGGGCGGGGCCTCCCTGGGGCCGTTCTCATTGGCCGAAGCCGCCTGGGCGTGGCTGGAGGGGGAGGGGCAGCTCGACCGCGCCCGCCGCGCTCTGATTGGTCGGAGGAAGCAGCAGGTGAGCGGGGGCGGGGCTTGGGGGCTGGGTGGGGATTGGGGCGGGGCTTAAAATTTGGGTCCAAAATGGCGGAATTTGGGGGTGGGGCTTAATTTTTTTGTCTAAAATGGCAGAAATTGGGTCAAAAATGGCAGAAATTTGGTCCAAAATGGCGGAATTTGGTGATTTTGGTGGTTTTTTACTGGTTTATACTGGTTTATACTTGTCCAAAGCATTCTGTACTGGTCCGTACTGGTTTGTACTGGTCCGAACTGGTTTGTACTGGTTTGTACTGGTCTGAACTGGTCTAAGCTAGATAAATTTTGGTGCAAAAAATGGGGATTTTGGTGTATTTTACTGATTTATACTGGTTTGTACTGGTTCAAACCAGTCTGTACTGGTCCATACTGGTCCATACTGGTTTATACTGGTCCATACTGGTCTGTACTGGTCCATACCGGTTCAAACTGACCCAAAATATGTAAATTTTGGTCTAAAAATGTGATTTTTCCTGGTTTTTACTGGTTTATACTGGTTTGTACTGGTCCAAACCCATCCACGTCTATCTGGACTGGTCCATACTGGTCCAAACTGGTTTGTACTGGTCCAAATATATGCAAATTAAGGAAATTTTGGTGTAAAAACATGGATTTTGGTGCATTTTACTGGTTTATACTGGTTTGCACTGGTTTATACTGGGCCAAACCAGTTTATAGTGGTCCATACTGGTGGGACTGGGATGGACTGGGATGGAACTGGGAGGGACTGGGGGGGACTGGGAGGGACTGGGAGCAAACTGGGATGAACTGGGGGGGACTGGTTTGGACTGGGAGGGGGTTTGGGGGTTACTGGTTTATACTGGGAGGGACTGGGAGAGGGTTTGGAGTTACTGGTTTATACTGGGACGAGGTTCAGGGGTTACTGGTTTATACTGGTTTGTACTGGGAGGGAGTTCAGGGTTACTGGAATGGACTGGGAGGGGTTTTAGGGGTTACTGGTTTGTACTGGTTTGTACTGGGAGGGGGTTTGGGGTTACTGGGATGAACTGGGATTTGGTTCAGGGGTTACTGGTTTGTACTGGGATGGACTGGGAGGGAACTGGGATGAACTGGGAGTTACTGGGATTGAATTTGGGCTTACTGGCCCATACTGGTTTTGTGTTTTTCCTTACTGGTTTTGACTTTTTTGTTACTGATCCATACTGGTTTATACTGGTTTATACTGGTTTGGGGTCTGGAGTTACTGGGCTGAACTGGGAGTGGATTAGGGGTTACTGGGAGTGAACTGGTTCTTACTGGTCCATACTGGTTTTGTCTTTTTCCTTACTGGTTTCAATTTTTTTGTTACTGGCCCATACTGGTTTATACTGGTTTGTACTGGTTTATACTGGTTTGGGGTCTAGGATGAACTGGGCTGAACTGGGAGTGGATTTGGGCTTACTGGGATTGATTTTGGTCTTACTGGTCCATACTGGTTTTGTCTTTTTCCTTACTGGTTTTGGTTTTTTTGTTACTGGTTTATACTGGTTTGGGGTCTGGGGTTACTGGGCTGAACTGGGAGTGAACTTGGGCTTACTGGGATTGAATTTGGGCTTACTGGTCCATACTGGTTTTGTGTTTTTCCTTACTGGTTTTGGTTTATTTGTTATTGGTTTGGTTTATTTGTTATTGGTTTTTACTGGTTTTTACTGGTTTTTACTGGTTTTTACTGGTTTTTACTGGTTTTTACTGGTTTATACTGGTATGGGGTCTAGGATGAACTGGGCTGAACTGGGAGTGGACTTGGGCTTACTGGTTCTTACTGGTCCATACTGGTTTTGTGTTTTTCCTTACTGGTTTTGGTTTATTTGTTATTGGTTTTTACTGGTTTTTACTGGTTTTTACTGGTTTATACTGGTATGGGGTCTAGGATGAACTGGGCTGAACTGGGAGTGGACTTGGGCTTACTGGTTCTTACTGGTCCATACTGGTTTTGTGTTTTTCCTTACTGGTTTTGGTTTTTTTGTTACTGGCTTCAATTTTTTTGTTACTGGTTTATACTGGTTTGTACTGGTTTGTACTGGTTTGGGGTCTGGGCTTACTGGGCTGAACTGGGAGTGGACTTGGGCTTACTGGTTCTTACTGGTCCATACTGGTTTTGTCTTTTTCCTTACTGGTTTTGGTTTTTTCGTTACTGGTTTCGGTTCTTTTGTTACTGGTTTTTACTGGTTTATACTGGTTTCGGTTCTGGGGTTACTGGGAGTTACTGGGATTGAATTTGGTCTTACTGGGATTGAATTTGGGCTTACTGGTCCATACTGGTTTTGTCTTTTTCCTTACCGGTTTCGATTTTTTTGTTACTGGCCCATACTGGGTTGTACTGGTTTATACTGGTTTATACTGGTTTGTACTGGTTTCTCCCCCGCAGGCCCTCGTCCGTCAGATCCTGGCCACGTTGCCGGTGGCCAGCTGGGGCCGGGCGCTGCTGGTGGCCACGCTGGGCCGGGAGCTGGCCCTGGGCCGCCTGCAGGCTCCCAGTTCGGAGCCCTTACTGGTGGAACTGGTGGAGGCCGTGGGGTCCTGCCCGGACAGGGCTGCCCTGCGCAGGCGCCTGCGCTGCGAGTGCGCCGTCTGCGGCTGGGGGCTGCCCCGGCAGCGCGTGAGTACTGGGTCGTACTGGTTTGGACTGGGTTGGACTGGTTTATACTGGGTTGGGCTGGTTTGGAGTGGTACGGACTGGGAGGGGACTGGGAGGGACTGGGAGGGGGTTTGGAGGTGCTGGGAGGGAGTTAAAGGGTTAAAAATGGGGGGAATGGGGATTTGGGGTTACTGGTTTGTACTGGTTTATACTGGTTTGGACTGGGATGGATTGGGAGGGACTGGTTTGTACTGGTTTATACTGGTTTGGACTGGGATGGATTGGGAGGGACTGGTTTAGACTGGTTTGGACTGGGATGAACTGGTTTTTGCTGGGTTGGACTGGTTTGGACTGGTTTATACTGGTTTGGAGTGGTTCGGACTGGTTTGGACCGGTTTTGGACTGGTTTGGACTGGTTTGGGGCTGGGATGGATTGGGAGGGACTGGTTTGGACTGGTTTGGGACTGGTTTGGAGGGGTTCGGACTGGTTTGGGACTGGGATGGACTGGGATGAACTGGTTTGGAGTGCTTTGGACTGGTTTATACTGGTTTGGACTGGTTTGGGCTGGTTTGGACTGGTTTGGACTGGTTTGGACTGGTTTGGGACTGGGATGGATTGGGAGGGACTGGTTTGGACTGGTTTGGACTGGTTTGGACTGTTCGGACTGGGAGGGGATTGGGGTGAGCTGGGAGAAACTGGGAGGGGCTGGGAGGGGGGTAAAGGGTTAAAAATGTGGGAAAATGGGGACCCCAGTGGAACTGGGACCAAACTGGGACGAAACCAGTTCCATACTGGTCCTTACTGGTTCGTACTGGTGCAGATGCAGTGGCTGCCGGGCTGCTCGTGCCCGCTGTGCCCCGAGTGCTTCCGGCTGCACTTCACGGTGGGGCTGCGGGAGAGGGGCGTGGGCGCCCTGGGCTGCCCCAGCTGCGGCCGGCCCGACCTGCGCGACGACGCCCAGCGCCTCTGGTACTGGTCCACGCTGGAGCCCGCGGTACTGGTTTATACTGGTTTATACTGGGAGGGCGTCGGGAGGGGGCTGGGGGTCACTGGGGTGAAGTTTGGGGGGATTTGGAGGGAGTTAGAGGGGTAAAAAGGGAGTTAAAGGGTTAAAAATGGGAGGAAAAAGGGGAAAAAGGGGAAAAAAACACAGTTTGGGTAACTGGTTTATACTGGTTTGATACTGGTTTGTACTGGTTTGTACTGGGAGGGCATTGGGAGAGGCTGGGGGTCACTGGGGTGAAATTTGGGGGGATTTGGAGGGACTGGGAGGGAGTTAAAGGGTTAAAAATGGGAGGGAAAAGGGGTAAAACGGGAAAAAAACATTTTGGGTAACTGGTTTTTACTGGTTTGTACTGGTTTGGTTACTGGTTTATACTGGGATGAACTGGGACGGATTTTGGAGGGGATTTGGGGTTACTGGTTTATACTGGTTTATACTGGTTTATACTGGTTTGGGCTCTGAGGTTACTGGGGGCTTACGGGTTTATACTGGGATGAACTGGGAGGGAACTGGGATGAACTGGGAAGGGATTTTGGCCTTACTGGTTTATACTGGTTTTGCTTTTTTCCCTTACTGGTTTATACTGGGATGAACTGGGAGGGGATTTAGCCTTACTGGTTTATACTGGGAGGGGTTTTGGGGTTACTGGTTTATACTGGTTTGTACTGGTTTGTTGTGGTTTATACTGGTTTATACTGGTTTATACTGGTTTATACGGGTTTGTTCAGGTTTGTACTGGTGTATACTGGTTTGTACTGGTTCATACTGGTTCATACTGGTTCATACTGGTTCATACCGGTTCATACTGGTTCATACTGGTCTGTACTGGTGTGTCCCAGTCCACACCAGTCAGTCCCAGTTTGTCCGCAGTGCTCGTTCGGGTTCATCTTCGAGGCGGAGCGGGGCCCGGCGCAGTGCCCCCAGTGCCGCCAGTGCTGCTGCCCCCGCTGCCAGCTGCCGGTACGCTGCTTACTGGTTCTTACTGGTGCTTACTGGTGCTTACTGGTTTGGGCTGGGTCTTACTGGTTCTTACTGGTTTGGGGTTTGGGGT